CAGCGTGCTCGACGTCCTTTTAATTCTGTGGTGCGTAACCATTTTAAAGCGGAATGATCAGTCACTACAAAGAAGGGGGAGATTCCAAAATAATGTTTAAAATGTTCCACTGCCCATATAACAGCAAGGCATTCTTGTTCAGTCGTGGAGTAGTTTCGTTCAGCTCTATTAAGACTTCGGCTAGCGTAGGCGACTACGTATTCATTTTTGTTTTCATCTTTCTGAGCCAATATGGCTCCTAATCCTGTACCAGATGCATCCGTATGCAGATAAAAAGGTTGACTAAAATCTGGGTAACGTAAAATAAGAACAGTTATAAGTTGAATTTTTAGCCATTCAAAGGCCTCTTGTTGTTCACTTTTCCATTCAAAGAGTACATCTTTTTGTAATAATTAATTCAGGGGTTTGGCTTTCTTGGAAAAATCTTTGATAAATTTTCGGTAGTATGAGACAAGACCCAAAAAGCCTCTAAGAGTTCGTAAATTAGTTGGTTGGAGAAATTCTTTAACCTTTATCAACTTTTCTTTATCAGGTCGGATTCCTTGCCAAGAGATTTCATGTCCTAAAAACGTGATAGAGTGTAAGAAAAAGTGACATTTATCTTTGTTTAATTTTAGCTGCGCATTTTGTAAGGTTTAGAAGATAAGGGATAAATGTTGTACGTGTTCCTCAAAGGTTTTAGAGTAGATAGTAAGGTCATCAAGATATATGAGTACAAATTTGCCAAGATACTTCTTCATTACTTGGTCCATTAGATGTTGAAAAGTTGTGGGAGCATTGCAAAGTCCAAAAGGCATAACATTAAATTCATATAGTTCAAACTTAGTTATGAAAGCAGTTTTTTTTCAGTCCTCTTCTTTCACAGCTACTTGCCAATAACCAGAGACAAGATCAAGACTCAAAAACCATTTTACACCTTTAAAAGATTTCAGGATATCATCAATTACAGGGAGGGGGTAGACGTCCTTTTCAGTCGCCTAATTTAATTTTCTATAGTTAACGCAAATTCGTTGTTTCCCATTTTTCTTTGATACTAATACAATAGGAGAAGCCCAAGGACTAGCGGACTCTCTGATTAAACCTTTTTCTAACATAGTTTGTATTTCTCGTTTAACAAAGTCTTGATTGCTAGAAGCAATTCTATAAACCTTTTGTTTAACTGAAGTTGCGTCCTTAGTATTGATAGTATGTTCTACAATATGGGTCTGTCCTAGTTCGATAGTTTGTCCCTCTTCAGATATATTTTCTGCAAATACATCAGGGTATCCTGTAAATAGTTCATCTACTTTTTGTTTTTGTATTTTATCTAGTACTCCTACTTGGAAGGGAGGTTTATCTTCTGTTATAGTTTCAGTTAAATAGAGTGTAGGGTTATAGTCGTTGGGTGTTTCAATTTCGCAGAAATCTTTATGTTCTTCTTGTTTCCAGGGGTTAGAATATAAGCCTTGTTCATCCCAATAATCAGACATCTCAGAATGAAAGGTTTCATTTTCATCTAATTCACTCTCAAGTTCATACTCAAGGTCTTGTTGGACTTGGTCTTCATCTTGTTCCTCTTCAGATTCAATATTCAGAGGGTCATTATAGGTATGTGTAGTTTGTACAATCGTTTGGTCACCATTATAGAACAGTCCCAGAGTTTTATCAGCAAAGTTACATTGTGCTTGAGTCTTTTCGAAGAAGTCAGTTCCTAATAATAAAGTTTCTTCTGAAGACTCAATTACTTATAACTTCATGGGGACTATACCTGTCACCCAAATTCAAAATCCAAATGCCAAAATCTCAAATGCCAAAATTCCAAATCCCAAATCCCAAATCCCAAATTATGATTAGTATTTTTTGCCGAAATCCCAAATCCCAAATTCAAAATACTAGTAATTTGAGATTTTGGCATCCCAAATCCCAAATGATTTGAGATTTGGGCAACACGTATAATGGGGACTAGTAAATTTTGTATGTCTATAGGAACATAGTCAATCTGTCCTAAGGCACATTGCCTAGCTCCATTGACAGTGATAACTATAACCTTTGAGGGGCCATTAATAGTAAGTTCCAATTTTTTTCATAGCTTGTTAGTAATGATACTAACAGCAGCACCAGAATCGAGTACAGCAACTACTGGGTTCCTCCCAATTCGTACGTAACATTTAGCCGTGGTAGTTCGCTTAACTTCATCAGTTTCTACGTGATTGGTCTCCTTTTCCTGTGTAGGTCGTTTGAGAATCTTTGTTAAGTTTCTTTTTTGATCAGGGTATTTCAATAATTGTCCTATTTTAGCGCTGGACTGCATATGAAGGATGTCCTGCGAAATATCGTATGGGGTCAATTGATCGACAACTGACTTTTGTCATTTCATTCTAGGTTTCTTTTCACTTTTCGTTTTTAGTGTTATTTTTGGTAAGTCTTCCTACATAGGTTCATCCTCATAAAGGTCTTGTTCAAAATCGATCAAGATCTCAGGCTGTTGATTATTGATAACGGGCGTAGCTTTTTGAGGTACAGGATTCTTTGGTCTTCCTAGTTTGCATAGAGGGTATACCTGCCACCCAAATTCAAAATCCAAATGCCGAAATCCCAAATGCCAAAATCCCAAATCCCAAATCCCAAATTA